CTGTTGGGTATTGAAATGAATTCATGGTAAAGAATACCGAAATCAAAATGAAAGTCCGGGCGATGGTTCAAGCGCTATCTCTGCTTTGTTAACATGCACAGATGAAGCTGATGTACAATGTACAAAAATGTAGACCAAAGAAGAATGAAACACTCAAAGCCTTGTGAATAGAATTCATGTCAATGATTGATCAGTGCAGATGAGTTATCCAAAAGTAGTGAAAAGCCTCAGAATTTGCAGATGTTAATTTGCTGTCACAAAAATCGTTATGTTCAAATGATCCTGAAGTACGTACTTTGCTATACATATACCAAACATTGGCAAAAATTGTGTTTGCTGCTGTATGAACATGTAGGCCTATGTAATGGAAGGGATGAATACAATGAGGCTGACAAATTGTACAATAAAAAAGAAAGGTGATGAACAATTTGACATGAACGCATTGCGTACATGATAACACACAAGCAGAAATGTGAATTTATGGAAAATACAACCTCACAGAAATGAAAAATAGATTTATAAGACAATGCTCCTTGTAGGGCTGTGCATTTTTGAATAATTTAATATTTGATTATTCTAACTTGGACTTGATCGATGATTTGAATATTTGGAATGCACTGATCAAGTTTAACACGCACCAGTCTAACTGGCTACCGATCGGGATTTGCTTGTGGCTGTGCTTGTCAAAAATATACAAAGAGCTTACTTAAATATAAAAAAAAGGTAGCGAAATGGCTCTTATCTGATCGATTTTATCTGCAGAAGAAATTTAAGCTATCATTCCTCATTGAAACTCTGACATCATGCATGGAAAGTGGCTTTTGAGAAAACTGTGGCATTTGATAAAGCAACACAACCACGTCACTTATACGATCAAAAAAAACAAAAACATCCTGGGCATATTTCGTCATCAAACTGCTCACATTTTTCAAACAAAAAAAAGGTTATTTGCTTGATGTTCGAATTTTTGGTACAAATGAACTCAGCGCAGCCATACTCCTTGGACAACTTAAACCATATTTTGTGTGGAAATTGCTCAAGGCTTTTCACTAAATCCTCTTATTGTTTGGGATGATACAGGAAGAGTCTGCATAGAAGAGTGAAACGATAAGAATGGTCGGGGAAAAGTCCATTATGACTTTTCTGCTCCAGAGACCCTGACCCATTTCTTCCCCAAATAAAAGAAAATTCTCTTTGAATTCAAAACAGTCTGAAAAAAAGGGGGGGGGGGTAGTAAGTGAAACAGCAAAGCTTTTCAGGGCATCTTGAGAGAACCTGATATTCCGGCTGTGATGAAAGGCTATTCATCCTCGCAGACAAACCTGGCTGATTTGGGACATTTTTTAAAGTGCACGTGTATCAATCAGCCGTGCAGATACAATGTCCAACAGAGGATTGCAACCCTTGGGACTGAAATGTGATGCCTGTTATTTTCATCCAACTTGGGCAGCAGGTTTTTTATGTTATGTTGCTAATTTCTTCGGTTGGCAGATTTCTCGTGTGACACTCCACTCAATCATATTTTTGCACACGCCTGGGGTACTGAGACAGAAGTCTTTGCTCTTAGGGACACACAGGGTGACTCTGGCTGGATCGGAGGGTAGCCAACATACATGTTTTCGGGGTATGCATATGGTACATGTGACAAACAACTACTGGTACATGAAAATTGACTGTTTAACGGCCAAAATTGCATGCCTCTGTTTCAGCTGCGTGTAAATGCATATTGAGTTTATTTTGTCCATGAAAAAATGAGGGATGCGGACTTTTGTCTGATTACATTTCAATAACTTGGTGTGATCATGAGTTTTGTGTAGACTTAGGTTTGACTTTCATGAAAAGAAACACAAGGCTGAATTGTACTCTTGTTACTTTTTGTTTTTGTACAAGAGACGAACGCATGAATGTTGGGCCTTGCAGTTGCCATCCCTGCACTATTTTCAAGTCTCACCCTGAAAATGAGACTCTGTCTTTAAATTGTCACAGGAACCTACATGTATGACATACCTCTCCTTTTCTGAAATTGCTGACAAAATACACTTGAGATGCTACATATTGATAGATTGTAGATCTGTCCAGTATGCATCTGTTTACAAAGCCAGTCTAGTGAATCACACATGTACCCTGTTGTATAGATTAGTCAGGGTGCCTTTTCAATAATTCTTTTTAATATTTCTACGCTCGTAAAGGGCAATTAACGTTCCGACAACAAAATTTACATATCGCCTGAGGCATCTTACATGTTCATGTATAATATACTGTTTCTCCACTCCTCTTCCTGTGAGTACAGGCAGCTAACACTCGGCCTCATCTTGTCACACCTGTTTTGGTACAATTGTACCCGTACTTTATAGAGCAAGGGTCTTGCTTAAACCAAAGTGTGCCTGTGATTTTAAACCAGCTAACTTTAACAACACACACCTACAGATCCATCATCATTTACAATTGCCCAAGTACCCGGCACAAGTACCATGCAAAGAGTCCAGTATAATGCCATAGTGCAATGCCATATTTTGATTCCTATACTTTTCTTTACTTGCCATCACCAAATCGTTCAAATACACTGACATCTTTTTTTAAAAGCCTGGCTAAATCTCCCAACGATCTTCAAAGTACAAGCACCCAAGAGATTGTTGAGGTGCCAACGGTTCCTTCCAAAAGTTTCAGTACTACATGTACGTCAATGCTGTCTGTTTACCCACACAAACCATAAATACTTGAAGGTGTCCCCCAGCTACTTAACCCGTCTCTGTCTGATAACCCTTTTACACCTTCCAAGAGGAAGAGGACCTACTCCCCCCACTACCAATGTTGACTCTACTCCTACACCGTTTCCTCAAGACCTTGCCAGCCTACGACAATATAAGTGCTCGGAGCTTAACGGGTTAAAGGAGATTTTTTTCTGTCAGTGAGGCACTGAAAAAAGGCTTCCAGGTGTGTTGGGACTGTGGGTTGAATGATTGACATGCACAAGACGATGCGATGATATCAGCGAAACAGTACACCACTGCAGAAGTGTATTAATAATGTGGCCTCGTGGTTTGAAGTATTCAACCTTAAACATGTGTATTAGGCCTTATGCACAAGTCAACCATATTGAATTGAAAGTGAGGTAAAATCTTAGTTTTTGGAACTTGCGAAGAGAAATGAAAGCAAGTACATTACTAATTAATTCAAGTCTGCTTCAATGAACAATTTAAAATGTGTAATTAAACATTCCCTTATGTTTTAAGTCAGATTTAAAAAAAGAAATGACAGTAAAATATGGCTGCATAAATAGTCTGGCGCCATACCGGTACCTTTCAACAGTTAACAATTTATGAAATACATTCAGGGAACTTGACAAAAATGGCCAACTCGTGCACAAGGCCCATTCTGATAATGTGCTTCAATCCAGTGGGTGCATGTACATGTACCTACAATGTACATGTATGATGGCTGAGATGGTCATTGTACATGTACTTTTAATTGGCCCTTTTGTGCCGAAACGGTAACATTGAGCTCATGTACTCCCCAAGAAACTGAGAATACATGCGCTGATGAAATGCCTTGGGAACCAATATTGGTGGACATTCTCTTGATAATTACTCATCATTAGAGCTACCCCGGTTTAGTCTTCCTATGACCCTTTTCCAAGCTATGGACTCCGTTCAAAAGTGCCCCCCTCAACGGTTACAAAAGGAGGGCTGCACAAAGCATGCACCACTGCGCTAAATCTAAAATTTAAATTGTGCTGATTTAAACGTAAAACTGCAAATCCGTCTTTGAAAGTGAAATCATGTGTGATAGAAACAAGGGTGTGCAAGGATCCAAAGAAATATGAAAACAAAAAAATGCCCAGTATTAGTAAAGATGGATCAACTTGCGGTCATAAGTGGTCAGTTGGAAGTGCTCAATGTCAAATTCAGTACGATTAACTTGGATGATTGTTAGGTGATGGCTGAAGCTCTGGGTGTGTTTACCTTGGGTGTGAGGGAAGTGGCTTTGTCAGTCGATCTGTCTTTCTGTTTTTGACAATATTTGAGTTTGCCAAACTTAGAGTTTTGGCACAGCTGATAGAGCGATCCATTATAATAATGATCTACCAGGATACCTCCATATTGAAAAAATTGGGGGGTTTGATGGATTCAGGACAGTAAGCCTAGCAGTACTGCAGATTTTGATGGATTCAGGATATCTCCATATTGAGCAGATGGGGGACTTTGATGGATTCAGGATCTCAACAGTTTAACCCCTTGGCTATATGTTTGGTGTGTACGAGGTGTATACACTGGTGGATTCTGATGGACTCACTGGTGGATTCTGATGGACTTAGGACACCAACATTTTTTTGCACGACAAAAATGGTGGATTTGGACGGATTCAGGATACTCAACCATGTTATACTTGTATATTGTACCCACGGGTACACCACAAGTCTCACAATCAATGACACTTAACTGTAGGTGTATGTATCATGGTTTCCATCCCGTTACTCTTTCAGCAGGCCTGTTTACCTGTCACTGACTTTGACACTTTATGATCACACATACTGCCCTTTAGTTTTCCTGTTTTAAAAGCACGTACCATTCTTCATACGCTAGGTGATGGCTGAAGCTCTGGGTGTGTTTATCATGTCTGTGAGGGATATGCCAGTACATTGTATGTCAGTCAGTCTGTTTTTGACAAGTTTGAGTTTGGCACCCTGTAACTGCTTGATGACTCTCTGTCTGCTAGCAAGAGCAGTCTCGTGACTGAGATGGATTGAGTTCTCTGTCAGTCAGTTTGTCTGTTTGCCATGTTCGGTTTGACACCCCCCTGCCGCCTACTGTGAGTTTGGCAGCCTGTATTTGCTTGATGACTACCCTGTTCCCAAGCAGAAGTGCTCTCATGACTACCAGCAATATAGTCCAGTCAGTCAGATAATCTGTCTGTATAAAATTCTCTGTCCAACACTGGACCAGATTTATTCAGTCCATCTGTAAGCTAGCTGCTCAACTTGACACCCTTCCATCACTTACTTTGAGTTTGGCAGCCTGTATCTGCTTGATGACTACCCTATCAGCTAGCAGGAGTACCCTGGTGACAGCAGACAACAAGCCCCTGGCAGCTCGCACCATGGCGCTTTTGTCGGCCGGGCTCATGACTTGTCCCGACTCGTCGTACGTCATGTCTGTCAACTTGGCAATGTTCTCACCTGGGAGAGAGCGAAGAGAAGAGGAGGAAAAGTGATGTCTTGAATGAGGACACTCGTAAACAACATCACATGTGAGCACTTGGCATCGATTGGGCAATGCTGTAGTGAGAATGCCTGGTGCAAATTTGATGAAACTAGAATTTGCAATTTGATCACTATTTAATTGTATCTTGTATAAATTCTTCCTGGAACCAATTATTGAAATCATTATTCCTTGGTTTAACAATATATCTTTCTAGATATATCATTGCTATTTTTTTTCTTTGATTACATTCGTGCTTGTTTGTTTGTTTTTTGTTCCTGGTTTGTAACCTAGTATGGTTGGGGTGTTTGTTTGTTTGTTTTTGGTTTTTTTGGCTATGTTTGTCTTGTTCTGTTTTTCTGCGTAATGTTTTTTTTCTCTCTCTCTTTTCCTGTTGGTTGGTTCATTGGTTTATTTTTTTAACACTTAATTTTAATGCCTCAATTGTATAAATATTTTAATGTAATTTTTATTTCCTAATGTTCATCTGTATCATAATTCAGCCTGTTGGTTGCAATGAACAGATTTTAATAAACCAGTAGTAAATTAAATCTTGCAGAATTCAAAAATTTCATTGAGACTGGTGTTTTGTTAAGTCAATAATGCCAGTATTACAAAACCTACATGTATTTAAATCTTTTATGTTTGTTATTAAATCAAAACTGAAAATTGATACAGTACTTAAATGACTTAGAGGAATAACACAAAATTAAATAATGTTGTTGCAAGTAACAAGCGTTTTGAAAAAAATAGTTGACAAGTTTAGGCATACATGTACATTTGTAGAGACACTCTACAAGTACTGGTACAATGGTACACAAATGACTAGCACTTCGTTTCATGAAAGTAGCTTAACTGCTTCAATATAAATTTACTGCACTCTTTTAAAAAAGTCCGGGTAAATTAATTGATGAAAAATGTACAAAGCTCAAGAATGTATACTAGTCACTGGAAGGCATGGCAAGATTAATTCTTAAAATTAGGAAATGTAAATATGGAAGCATTTTAAGTGGCAACAAGGCCTTGTTCCTTCCACTGTTTCAATGACATTCCAGGCCAGGGAACATATTCTCGGAGGATTAATGATAGAATGTGGCTATAAACAAACTACGTTTGCCGAGTGATGAAGCTTCCACAGACACTGCTTTACGGTAGAAGCAGCAGAAGTTCAATATCTAATTAATTCTGTCTGTCCTCATGGAGGTGCGGTGTGTGCATGATATTGATTACCGGGGATCAATACAGGAAAGAACTGTTACGCTAACTCTGGGCCAGGAGATACTAATAATAAACCTGTGTGTCAAGGTAGTACTTAAAATACTGTAGAACTGCACCTAACCCTGCTGAATCCAACAGGATCCAACTATATCATAAGCCCGTTGGAGCCTGTTAGATTGAGCAGTAAACCCCTTGCACAAATGTATACATATTCAGAGTCGGATTCTGTTGGGTACTGATAAATAACCCCAAGTTGGACTCTGTTGGATTGAGAAGACAACTAAAAATTTGGCACAGTTGGATTTTGATGGATTGAGCAGGGAGCAACCTTTGGACCCTGTTGGATTTAGCAGGGTAGTCCTGAAGAACCCTTGGGGGGTTAGGGTTTTAAATAATGACCATAACGTGTACACTTCTTGATTGATTTGATAATTCATTTTTTTGTCCAAATTGTATCTGCACATGTACATGAATATTTTTCCTTCTGTGCACACAATATGCATGTGAAGAGTTTACTTCAAAAACGTGACATATCCAATCGAAAAAGGTGAACATTTTGCACGGTTTTATGAAGCTTTAAAAACAGTAGGCTATAACAGCCGTTTATTAACTTCATTTTTTGCTTTATTGTACCGGTATTCTTAAATTGTGTTTAAGTACCGGTATATAACAGTAGTCAAAATTGCTTTTGGCAGCAAGGAGAGTACAGGATTCTAAAAGGGAACAAAATTACGTATATTGTGTTTTGGAAAACTCTTCAGGTATTGTGTGAAAACAAATACCGGTACATGCTTGTGTGTCTCTGGACCACCGGTTCCTGCCGTACGGTATCGGTAACTACATGTACATGTATTGCTTTACACAATGAAAACTGAATAATTATAAAGAACCATTAATTGCTATGTCTCCGCTATAATGCCATTTCATGCTTGAATTATTTTAAAAGACAAATATTCCACTGATTTGCATTAATCATACTATTGTGAATATATTTGATTTTGATACTGAATTCTGATTGGTCTACCCCACAGCAAGTGCACTAAAGGACGGTTCATACCCGGTGAATGCAGATGTACATGTATGAACGCAAATTTATGCAAACGCAATTGCAAATTTCTGACTTCGCGGCAAGTTTTCACATTACAAATTTATTTGCAAAACTTGAACAAATTTCACAACACATAAATGTATGAACTGGCCTTTAGGCACAAAACCTATTATCATTCAAAGTAATGAAGCCATGCACTTTCTGGATTGCATTTCGTAAAAACAAAAGTCTCTGTCATGAATTCATGAAACTCAATATCTTTTAATGCATGTTCTGTCCTTATCCTTTTCACCGATTCATATTCATCACTACTTCTGAACAAATCAAAACTGAGGCATCACACATCGTGCATACATACCAGTAAGAGCGAAGGGTTTGTGAAATTGTTGACAGCATTGGCCTGTTGTATCTTACAAATTTATACAAAAGCCGTTTTCCTTGGGGTCCACTTGGACAAAGCTGAAGTTTGCCTAAAGACAATTTAAATCCCACACGCGATTAAGTTACAAGCGAGACAGACAAAAAATTCAACTATCATCTATGCAAGCATTTAATCCTACTTCTCACTCCACGTCAATTTTTTTTCCCTTCAGCAACTGCAGGGTTTGGTTTCATTTTAAATGCACCGTATTGTTTGACATTTGCGCGCTACTTGTTTGTTCCTGCAGAGCTTACACCCATGGGAGATAAAAAAGGGCACTGATGACTTTTTTCAACGTTGCGTGGGATACTAGACCTGTCCAAAGCAGTGTTGTAGTACTCGTACTCAAGTACATTGTCCCTGTACCGGTACTTGTACTCGTACTCATGAAAATGTGCTCGTACTCGCAAGAAAAAATTATCCGTACTCGTACTTATGACAAGGAACTGGTATTCCTACTAATACTTGTAAATGTTCTCTCGCAAGAATCAAAAAAATGTTTACGAGTTACATGCAGGAAAAGAACCAGTTTTTAACTGTTTGGGAGGCTTCTGCATTTGTTTAATAACCCTAAGTCCCTAGGCCTTTTTGCTAGGATGTAGCCTCAATCCTGCAAAATCCTCCATTTGGCCTCGTGGAAAAAATAGTATACCGGTACATGTATAGCCTCAATCCTGCAAATTCCTCCATTATTTCTTGAATATGGTCCGTGGAGGGGTGACCACTGCCTGAATTGTGCAAAATCCTGCGGCAGTGACTGTCAATACGTTGAGGCTTGGCCAGTGACATCCTGGACCAGTGCAGAGGATTTCAAGCATAATCCAGGCCTGTATTTATGCATGGCTGAGCAAAAACAACACAAGGTCCGACCCAAGACCTTGACAAAGTGCATTCTACGAAATCAGTAACGCACTTTTGCCATGTAACCTCAATCCTCCAAATTCCTCCACTTTGGTAAAGAGGATTTTGAAGGATTCAGGGCAGTTAGGGTTAATTAATGCCTAACTTGACAGCAAAAAGCCCTTAAAAACATGTCACGTGACACATTGAAATTTGCTCCTACTTGTGGAAAGCACTGGTACTCGTACTAGTACATGTACTTGTACATGTACTCATACATGTGTACTTGTACTCATGGGAATTTGTTTTCTTGTACATATACTAGTTCGCGACTTCTCGTACTCATGACGAAATACCGGTATTCATACTCGTACGCATGCTCATGGCAATGTACTCGACTGCATGTACAACACTGGTCAGAAGAGAGATTGTTCCCAATCAATGGGGATGGTTTCAGAGTTGCAGCACATCTCCCCTGGACAGATGGGAGTTTCACACCTTCGGCAGCTCTCAGGTCTCAGGTCTCGACCCAAGTCCAATATGTCCAAATGGAAGACTTGTCCCAGCTGTGTCCATGGTAAACAGTCCCAGACAGCCAGTCAATACCCATGCATGCTTTAATCAAGTTATGTGGTCCATTAAACGCATACTAATTTGGTGTATGTGTGTGAATGGCTCTCCTATGTGTATCCATCTCTTGGGAACAGCAAGGAATGGGGGACTTTATTATGACCAAGCCATATCGCCTGTGTGTACTGAAAAGGTTTTGAATGCCATTTGCGGGGCATTTTCTAAATGAAAACCAGGCTACATGGAACTTGAACCAAAACTGATTTCAATGTTTATGTGCATTTTAATGTGCGACAGATGTCGCCGAGAATTTTGCAGTTTACACTGTAAAGCTATTAGGCCCTTCAGTAAACTTTCGGGATTTGGATTTTGGGGTTGGGTTTCTTTTACGGGTACCCGTGTTTTACTTCAATAGAGTACCCGGTTCCCGTACTAACCGTAAATGCACACCTCTTCATAAACTAAACAATTTTGTTATGTGAAATGGACTGCAAGCAGTGTGTGCATGCATGTTTCCTTCACTTGCTCTCGTAAGTTGTCGACAAAATGCCATCTAAAGTTCCTACACAAGAGTCCAAAACACTGGGCCACTTTCATACACAGGTGCTACAAACTTCTTCTGCTTTGCAAAGTTACATGTAAAAGGTTAACGGCCGAAGTGCCACAATATATAAATGTCATGTAAAGCCTGGTTCATACTTCACACAAATGCGAAGCGAATTTAACGTCATGAAACGTTCGCTGCGAAATTCGCCCGAGTTGAAATGCGTTCAACTTTTACGAATTCACAGCGCGAATGCTTGTAATTCTTGTAACTCTACTTGTAATTCTCAGCTAATCGTTTTTAGTATTCAAATTTAAGAAGTTTAATTATCATGCAAAAGTTTCAACAAATCTGTGCCAGACAGTTTGTCTATAAAAAAATGATCCCTGTCTACCCTACAAGAGGCGGGAAAACAACATTGAGAATACCGTACCCGCCAGTCTAGCTTCCCTGCAGGCGTCAAACATATCCTCCTTGATATCGGCATTGTTGTCTCCGATGGCTTCACCGACTGACACAAAGCGTTCGATGGCCAAGTTGACGGCCTGGCCCACGCGCTCGATGGCCTTGCAGGTCTTCTCCGACTTCTTGCCAACTTTCTCCCGGTGGTTGACCAGGGTGGTGATCTGAAGAAGGGAGAAGAGAAAGAAAAAAAAAAAAGACAAGGAGATTAATTTTGAGGTTAACTCATTTAGTACCTGTATTGCCCCAAACCACCCTGCCAAATACCGGTACTCCTGTACCGCCCGAAATTGCCCTAGCACTCTATCATTTTTCTGGATTCTTCAGGGAATAAACACAATGCTTTAAGGGAATAAATGTGTGCTTGGGAGGTTTTAAACGCTCTGTTTAAGACCGGTTGGAGTCTGGATGCTGATAATTACCCGAGCCCAAAAGTCAAAACAAGTCAAAAATTAAACATTTCCAACGATTTCGTTCAACAGTTTCACTTTTCGAAATATAACTATATAATTGAGTGTCCAGCTTGCGAGTATGTCGTGAACAAAATATGGAGATTGGTGCGCGTGTCGCACGGACTGTGCAATGTCGGGCAGAATGCAGCTTTGGCGGTGCGTTGTGAATTTAGGACTATGGAATACTGACTCACTGGTATATATGCCTATGTGAGGATTGTGAAAGTTCAACCAATAAAACGGTAAAAGGCACTGGATTTCATAGGAGTTCAAATTTCATGTGACACTGGAAAAGTGTTTAAACCAGCCAGCAGGTCTTTATCATCCATTTAAGACATAGTTCTAATTTTAGGGTAAAAGTGAATATTTTATTATTTTTGGGGTGTTTGTCCCAGTCCTTATCCTAGTCAGATCAATAGCTTTGTCACGCTTTGAGACCTAAAAATGTTAGTATGGTACATGTACCGGTACCATATTGTATTAATATCATACACCAAGTGCAGCACACTGCACTTTCCATCCACTCCCTTTTGCTAACAAGGCAAGAACACAGCAAACACTTTAATGGCATGCAAACCCAATTGGTACTGGATTAGTACAAATCTAAGCACACTGTGTGCTTGAGGATGAGTACAAATTCAATCAAGCCCTCAATTTGGACAGAAATTTCAGGTAGTGGCAAGCCTCTGAGCACAGCTACATGTAAAAAGGGTCAGGATCACGTTGTTTTGCTCTTCTGAAACTCTATGGTCAAACTTTTTGTTGGCGGTATGATCTCAACTGCAGTACATGCACATTATTCTTGTACCGGTACATCATCTAGTAGGGCCTACATGTACAATAAATACTTTAAAGAGGGATTTCCTTGAAACATAACAGAGTTCTGGGTGTTTAAATTTTTTTTTTTTACATTTTAACGTGAGAACAAAATCAAACCTTTTGGAGAGGGGGACCTTTATTGCGAAAACATCCAGTACATACAATGTACATGTATATATTGGAAATGGATTCAGGCACTTCCATAGAATAGACATGAGTGTAAAATAGCTGTAGCCTAGTTATTCACAAGCTGCCTTGTACTCTAGGGGCTAGACGTTGTTGGTTTAATATGCAATAACCCGTGGCCGCGATAACCCGCTGCCGTGAGAGGGCGCTATCACGACCAACCATATATCGCCCACAGACTTGTCAGAACAACGTCTAGGGAAACTCTTATTGGTTGTGTAATGCGCGCGCACCTAAATAAATAATAAATACATACATATATGCAGCGCGCAATTCAAAAGAATTATAGTACATGTAGTTCCAGTGCAATAAAAGATGCAGCAAGACCTTTGTGCAGCTTCACTGGTCAGCTCTTTTTTGATGTACATGTATAGTATGTGTAGGACTGAAAATGTACCGTACATGTAATTGCCTGCAGAAGTCGCGCATGCGCACTAATTTCCCCCATTTTTCGAGGGGAGATTGCAGCAGTTTCCTTAGACGTTGTTCTGACCGTGGGCGATAGGCCCATAATATATAGTTGGTCGTGATAGCGCCCTCTCAAAACGGCGGGTTATCGCGGCCGAGGGTTATCGCGTATCAAACCATAACAATGTCTAGCCCCTAGACTAGCTGCCTTGTTGAAAATAACACTGTTCCTTCAAATGAGCCATTATAATTCATTTGTATAAAAACCATTGTACATTTAGTAATTTTCATTTTTTCAAAGCCCATGGACCACATGTACAGGAAATACCGTAGTGCAAAAAAAATTACCTGTAGTCCTGTACTGGTACTTCATGTTTGGCTTTTACATGTATTTTTGTACAGAACATGATTGCCTCAACAGCATTATAGAATAAGTACAAAATAGAAAGGAGTACATTTGCAGAATTTACACTCATCTACACTTGTGTGCATCAGAGGATAATCCTGCCAAACCAACCAAGGGTATCTGATTCATTATGCATGCAATATAAGCTTTTAATGTTGCAGTGCCCAGCAAACAGGATTTTCGTGGAGTCGTCTCTTCTGAGCACCGGACACCTTACTGCTCGTACCGCACTCCGTAGTGGCTTACAGTAATGGGGCTCATTCCCATGATGCAAATCTCGGTCATGCATTCTGAGTACATGCATGGGATCAACATCCATTTATGTGATGGGCATCTCTATGCATGGTACATACACTGTATGCATGTTCGTGCACATCATGTACATGTATGCAAGTCTAAATACTTGTTGTACCATACATCATGTGTTCATATTGAAAAGCTTGAGAAATGTAAGAAGACAGGATACACATTGCATTTATACATGTATACGTAGCGTGTTTAAGTTATAATCACAGAACATCTACATACGGCTTTCATCAAGGTCAAAATCTGACATCGTTACCACTTCTTCGACTCCAGCTTTATTTTCTTGTTCAGCTTAAGTCTCCGCAATCTTGACTTTAAAACTTATCTTCAAAGATTCGGGTTTTCTAGGTTTCTCAAGGAGCTTGACTTTTTATGCAAAATGGAAACTGTGTGTCTTCAACCATGTCCGACTATTCTCAGTCGTACACACAACCTGCTCATCAAAAATTCACGTACAGAAAATCCCCCCTCCCTTCCAAACTTCACCTCCCCACCCCACTCTTACCAAAAATTGTCATACATCTGAAGCATCATACTCAATGTTCATACCTGACCATTCACTAAATCACACCTGAGATGTCTACCGTAGCACCCTTCCCATTACGTTTGAGATGATGGCAATCACTGGGGTGAGATCAAGAGAAAATGAAAAATCCAAGAAATAATCGGGAAGAGGGTTTGAGGGTTGCCGAGACAACCGATACATTCATGTACTGTATTTGCCTAAAGGCACCCCTAAAATACCCATTGCTTTTGCTCTATGAACATTTAGGCCTATAGGTACAGATACAAGCTACGATAAAACCTCTAGAATGGCAGATTTTAAATGGGATTCTTCAAAACCCCAAAGCAGGGAAAATCCTGACCAAAAAACCCCTGAAATCAGGAAAAGTCCTGACAAATCCCACCCCTGAAATCAACATGAACATTTACCGACCCCGCATTTGAAAGCGCTGATTCGTTTCATTTCTTGTGAATGTCCATAATTATCAATTTTCATGCAAGCCTAAAGCAATCGTTGTGTGTTTCTGCTTGTGAAGTATAATACTGTTTGCACAACAAGGAGCAAGGCAAACAAGCCAGAGCAGCTCTAGTACCTGGAGTGTTCCCCCCCCCCCACCAAACACTAGGACTCTGTACTAGGAATATATGGGCCTACTTGTCGATACAGCAGACTTGAGCCTTGCATTAATATCATACAGCTCATCAAAATCAGTGTGGAATGAAGAGCAGACTCGCTCTACGTGTACATGTACATGTAGCTAGAGAGGGTAAGAACAAGCGCGCATATCAGAGCATGGTCAAAGCCGACAGGAAAGCAAGGGGGCCTGCATGCATCTGCAATACATACCGGTACACACATGATGAATACCTGTAACGGTAGTGGTTCACATCTACATTGTGTAGATCTACATGTACATGTACATGTATGTATTGAGCAGTGTTTTTTTTTAAATTAATGCAAATATGACAAGCCAAAATGCATTGTGTTCTGTACTGTACACCATTTTTTTAACATGTGCAATTACATGTACCGGTACAGTTTGGAGGAATAATATCAATACATTACAAGTGTGAATTTCAGCTACCTCAATATATTTTGGGCACGCATGTTCGCTGACTTCGCGTTACTATAATAAGACGTCCAAGTGCTGTGAATTATTCAGTACGAACATTACCATAACAAAGGCGCAGGTTTCGCGACTACCTCATTAACTTGACCACGCATGGATGAGTAGCTCCGCGAAGTTCGCGAAATGGTTTGCTCTTAGCGTCGGCCTGATATTCATGAACATTCGCGAACAGTTCGCGGAGACTTTATTGAAGCTATCCCTAAACGGTATAAACTCACAGGACACACTGTATGGTATCGGTACATGTCAAACTTGAACATGTCAAACTCACATAAGGACAGCAGTATGTGTTCACGTACACATGAACATGTGCCTATCAGTAGAAGGTGATACACATAAAATGTAAACCAGATCAATAAAATGTTTCCTCCAAAAACCAATCAATGCCACCACACCGTACATGTACATTGTAAGAACACCAGGCGACCATGTACGTGATCAGCGTACAGAACCTATAAACAGCTCCACTTGGAAATGAGGATGGTTTAGCATGGGCAGGTGCGTTGGATTTTATTATCGGAAATCATCCGAGGGGAGCAAATAACCACCCATGGAGAGCGCTTCTGCTCCCCCCCCCCCTTTCTTCTTTCATCGCCGGCTCCTTGCCTTTTCATTCTGCAGTTTCGTTGAGTGCTCAAGTTTCACCATATCGACGTTCCCCAGGTCACAAGCCTTGCCACAATCAAGCGGCCTTTCTCTGTCTCGCTCTCTTTTTTTTCCTCTTTTCCATCTCTGACCTAAATTGGAGAAGGTTCTCTGTCCCGGCAGAGTTGGAGGGCCGAGGCAAGATAATGCTGCTGCCTCCTGGAATATACAGGATGCGCACCGCCAATTTGCCTATTCTCTGCGTGCCGGGAATTTCCGAACACTTCAGATCGTTCACAGTGCACCTTTGACTCAAAGGCCTGTCTGGGTGTTTTGGATGAGAGGGACCGCACATTTAAAGTGAGCTT